TGATACTCCTACAGTAAACATTCCTAACTGTTAAACTGTGGTAGATGACATCTGCTCCATTTTCTTTTATGGATCGTCTTTATTGCTGATACCATTTTCTATGTTGCATTTCTATCTATATATAAAAACTCGCTGCTTTAATTAGAAGTCAACCAATATTAAGTTTACCAATATTAAGTCAACCAATATTAAACTTAATATTGTCAACCAATATTAAGTTTAAGTGGTAACCACTTTTTACCAATAAAAATAGTTTGAATGTTAAACCCTATAAATAAAAACAATGTAGTTTTTATAATGTTAGAGTCAGCGTTATAATGTTAGAGTCAGCTTTATAATGTTAGAGTCAGCTTTATAATGAAATAGAATTTCTGATGTAACTACACCCAAAAGTCTTAATTGATACAATATACCAATATAATATATTGGTATATTGTATCAATTAAGACTTTTGGGTGTAGTTACATCAGTATATTCTTAATTGATACAATATTGGTATATTGTATCAATTAAGATTATGTTAATCTAAATACAAAACATAACATATTATGTTACGTATTATATTATATATTATGTTAATACATAATATTGGATTAAAAGAAGAAGGGTTGAAGTTTATCCATACGTATTCAGATTTTTACAGAAACATGCAGAATTCAATAAGTGACATTCAAGTATGCTATTAATTCCTAGTCTAAAAAGTTATCTTTCTCTGCATTTTCACGATATGAAATGTAATTTTATAAAATATTTTATGCTAAACTCTGTAAGGATGTTTAATATTCTTCCGATTGATATATAATATATGGAAGTTCACAGGTGTGGTTTAAGAAATAAAATAAAAGTTCGATTTTATTGCTGTTCAACTAAATTACTGTTCTTTAAAAAATTACAATTTTGAGCATCTGCGGGGAATCGCCAAGTGGTCTAAAAAGCAAATATTCTTTAAGAACATAAAAATATGATCAATTTGCAACAATATTGCCGAATCCGAATTTTTAATATTGGATTTTCGCAAATCTGGAATTAATGTCACTTTTTGATTATTTAAAACCATTGGACAGTAGACCAAGGGTGGGTAAAACCCTTCAAAACCTCCTTTTATATTGGAGTAATTTCTTTTTGTAAATATAATCTATAGACGCCCAGCGCTTTAAAACTAAGATAATTTTTTTCCTATGGTGATTTTTGAGCTCAGTGTATCAATTTTACCACAAAAATGGCAGTATTTTATTTTTCAAATATTGGTGAAAATGTCAAAAATCATATAAAAATGAAATATGATGCCAACAAGACATTATTACAACATTTTTAAAGTACTAAACAGCACATGTGATTTACACTCATATATTGATAAAAATTTACAATCAAATTTTCTGAGCTCAACTAAGCGCAGTAGGTGCTAGGCTTTTATTATAAATGATATCCAATCGTAGATTTTACTTTAAAAACTGAAGATGACGCAGTTTTAATCATTTGAATCTTTTTTAAATTGCACTTATAATGTGATTGTGAAAATTTATGGAACATTTTATGAGGGATGAGGGAACAAATAAGGATTTGGAAGCTGGGAACTTAAAAAGCCCTAAAATTTTATTCCCCTTCACCCCAAACGTGAGGGCAAGAAGTTGATAAAATATTTTTTGTACTATTTTCAATTAGACTGGCATTCATCGATGAATTTTAAGTTCCATAGTATTATTTCTAAGCGTTCAAAACTTATGACAATATAAAATTAGTAATTTCTTCAAGTTGAGGGGGCTTTTTATAGTCATAATTTTAACTTTATATAGTCATAATTCTGAACGTCGAGAAACTTAAAACTTATTGATGAATATAAGTCAAGTTGAGAATATTTTGAGAATACAAAAAATATTTTATCAACTTGTTGCCCTCACGTTTGGGGTGGGAGGGTATGGAAAAATTTGGGGTTTATTTGTTCCCAGCCTCTAATCATTGCAATTTTTTGAAAAGTATTATTATTTGATATAAGTATAAACATTCCAACGTTTGTAGTTTGCTCCATGTCTGGAAGTTTTTAGAATATTTATTATTTGTATTTATGTATGCAAAAGATTTTCATTTATGTAAAACAGAAGAGTTAAAATTAATATGTTTCTCATTGTGTTGAAAGCGAGAAAACTGCGTCATCTAGTACTTTTAGTTTTAATGTCGTCTTAATAACTTTTCTAAAATGACTTTTTTATCTTTAAATGTGTCAAATAAGAGTTGTTCATTAAAATAACGCTCATAAAATAGAAAAACAGTAAATTAATTGTGAAAATTATTTATTTCATACACCCTAATATTAATGTTTTAAACTATATATATATATATATATATATATATATATATATATATATATATATATATATATATATATATATATATATATATATATATATATATATATATATATATATATATATAAAGAGAGAGAGAGAGAGAGATTTTTTAACTCATTTTCTTTTGTACAGATTTATAATTTTTACGAGAAAAAAAACGTATTTACACCTGATAATTGCATTTAGCATGAAACTAATAGTTGTGAAAAATATGCAGTTTTAATTATAAACAATATATATAAATGCAGCTCTGTTTTAATTTTAATTTTAATTTAAATTATTTTAATTTACTTTAATTCATCGAGTACTCTCATGAGGATATATGCAAGCACTAATACGTATACATATATATATATATATATATATATATATATATATATATATATATATATATATATATATATATATATATATATATATATATATATATATATCTTTATGAATAATTCAGTTATTAAAAGAGAATCAAATATAAACTTCCTGGGAGTAATATTAGATGAAAATTTATCATGGAAGTCTCATATAAAATCTATTAAAAATAAAATTTCAAAAAATAATTCTGTTCTATATTGAGATAAACCGTTTCTTATTATCAAGTCTTTAAAAATTATATATTTTTCATTTATCCATAGTTATCTAACCTATTGCAATATTGCATGGGGAAGTAGCAACTATGGAAAGCTTTAAAAAATCTATAGTAAACAAAAATTGGCATGCAGAATTATTTTTGGCGTAAAGAGAACTGCTCATGGAGAGCCTCTCTTAATGAAACTCAATGCACTCAATGTTTATAAACTTAATATATATCAAGTTATGCTGTTCATGTTTAAATCCAAACATGGTTTGTTGCTTAATATATTTTACTCTTACTTTACTAAAATTTCTTATAAGTATCCCACTAATTTTTCAAATGATAATTTTGTTATTCCAAGATTCTATTTTAAACTCAGTTCATTCCAAATACAATATCGTGGACCATTTCTATGGAATGAATTTTTTCAAAAAATTATTAAAAATAATATTCTTAAAAACATCTTTTTTGAACAATTCAAAACAGTATGTAAACGTTTCTTATTAGGAATAAACTTCGATTTAAAATATTCATTTTAAAATTTGACTATAAAATAAAATAAATAAACTAAATAGATCTTCATCATTTTTTTTTTTTTTTTTCTTTTTGTGAAAAAGTCATTTTATTTTCCATTAAATATGCTATGACTGTAAAACTATGCTATTTTAACTTTATATCTTATTTTTTTATATCTATAATTATGCTACTTTAACTTTATATCTTATTTTAACTTTATAATAACTTTGTAGAAATATATTTTTATTTTTTATGTTACCTATTTTTATGTTTTAAGTTTTTAAATTGTAATATTAACTGGCGGCTTCTATGTAAACGGGGCTCGGCGATAAGACAATATGTCTTCTTCTTGCTCCGGCCATATTTATATATATAAACAATTTTTTTCTCATTGTACATAGTTTTATACGGCAAATTAAATTAAATAAAAATATATATATATATAAAAATTATGGATCACCCTTGACCACCATTAAAGTGACCATTTGAGTGGTCATGATTATTTCTTAAGACCGGCTATGCCCAGAATTGAATTCCTTGACCACAGTTACCTATAATTAAACATACAACAGGTCCCATCTGATTTAAAAACCATAACTACCCTTGACAAACCCAAAATAACTACTTATGTAATCATGACCACTTAAAAATTAAAAAGGAACCCATAAATGTAATCATTGGCCCCAAAAACCTATGTAAAGATGTATCATATGTCTATATTTAAACGATAAATAGTTTTGTCATTTTTAGACAAATCTGGCACACTGTTTGATGTCGCAAAATTTGCCCAGAGCTGGGGTTTGAACAACAGATACTTTGTTTCTGGGGCACGGGTGACACCATTGCGCTACAGCTGCTCAAATTTACAATAAGTATGTTACCAATAATCATTTTTGTAAAAATACTAAGATTTAAAATTAGAAAGGGATACCCTCTTTAGCTTCAGCTGTTAATCTTAAAAAAAATTATCCAAAACCATATAAAATTTACAACCCCTTCATTGATTTGAGGAGGGTGGAAACTTTAAACAGTCATAACTTTTAAAGCTAAAAATATCGTTTAATGAAATTTAAAGCTTGATAGTGAATTTAAATTTAATATATTAAAAAGAATATAAAAAATTAATTCCCGACTGTTCTTAAATTTTGGTTAATGAGATTAGACTTTTTGGGGTGCTGGAGTCTTAAGGTGGAGATTGAGGGGAGGGGGTTGCATTAGACTTAGCCGTACATACTTCTTAAGTTTTTATCACCGCGATTATTTTGCAAAATCTCGTTTAACATAATCATAAATAAGTTCGCTTGATGCTTTCTTGTCATATCCGAAATATCAAATAATCCTACCTACCAGTGAGCATGTGTCGTCGGGGAACGAATCTTTGAACTAACTATTTGATAAAGCTTATTTTAAGTTTTGTATTTCACTTTTTATCAGAAATGAAATGGTTATTATTTAGCATTGGGTATAGAAGAACGAAGTGAGATATTATTTTATTCTTTGATAATAACCTGATTTTTTGAACAACTAGACTTTACTATAAATTTGTATACCCAAGTAATACACAATTATAAAATATAACAACTTTTTCACAATTTTCATAAATCTACATCTCAAAAAAGATCTTTTTAGATCAAAAATGGAATTCCAAATACATTGATACACCAAGTTTACCACACGCCATATTGTTCACACACTCCCACAAAATTATCACCTATTAAATAAAAATGATTTCACTTTACAATTTATGCAATACAGACGAAAGTAATAAATAATTCTGCAACACTCTTTTCAAAGGTCTTAAACTCCAATAAAATTAAAAGAAAAAAACAGTGAGACTCTTATTTTCAAAACCTTTTGCACATTTAACTCTGACATTTTGTAAAATCCACATTTCTGATGCTTATGATGCATCTATGAAATATTAACATTATCTTTAATGACAGATTTTATTTTACAAAACTTCAAATTTAATTAAATTTATTTACGCTTAAAATAAAATATATTTTGAACCGAAATAAAAAAGTAAATATACAATAAAATTGTAAGAAAAAAAAGCCATACTAATTTTTAATTAACTTAAGATCATCGACTATTAAAGCTAATTATCACAACAGTATTAAATTCTAATAATAAAAACACAATTAAATTATGTTACTGTCATTGAAGTGAAAGTAATCTGGTAGTTATAAACTATTAAAGAGAAAATTATCGATTATAACGTTCAACTGTACCATAATAGACGCTATCCAAAGTTGGACAACATTCTTCTACTAAATGATCATTTAAAGTTACTTATACAAACCTAAAAAGCTCTAATCGCACTTTGCGCATAGTCTTTGCTAACTTATATGAGTGTATTGGTTTGCTTCGTTTTGTTGTTATTGAAATATTAGGAAAAAACATATAAGAAATTATATACATGTTTTCTCCAAACTTTTAAAGCAAATAATATAAGTACAGTAATTAAAAACAAAACATTAAAAAATTGCTTTGCTTGATTAGATAACGAAACGAACCTTTGCATTTAATAAAAACATAAATTTAAAAATCCTAAAAAATGGGAGAAAAAATGAAGGACCTGACATACATACTTTTTGCAAATTACTTTAACAAAATAAAATTTCATTTTAAAAAATTATTTACCGGTTCTCCAACATTGTTCTTTGCCACTATCGACCAACTTTATCAAAAAGTATTTACAAAAAACATAGAAAAAAGAAGAACGAGTATTATCAACATCGACAATTTTCAAAAAAGCAAAATTAACAACTTTTTTAATACATCTTAAAATTTTAAAAATTTGCATTTCCTAATACTTTACAAACAAAAAATAAAAAAGTACGTAAACAATAATCTAGTTTTACGTGTGTACATATGTAACATCAGTTTGATTTCATTTATTCAATGTAGTGATTTAAACCATTATATTAAGCTAATTTATCATCTTTATTTATTGCTGAATCCATATAACTACTTTTCAAACAACGTATTTTGTCAGATAAAATTTTCTTAACTTGATGCATTTGTTCTTCTAAATACGGAAGACGATTTTTATTTTTATCGTTAGGAAAATGTTTTGCTCGCTTAATCATGAGCTTCAATTTTCGTCTTTTCATGTATAACTGACGACAATCTTTATCAAACCATTTCGGAAAGCTTTTTTTTGATTTCTTTTTAGAAGTAGAGTGATCTTCATTAATAGAATCAGCTTTTAAATCCTTTTGATTATGAACAATACTACTATCTTTTATTTGATCATTTTTATCCGTTATATTTTTCTTTGAGGTTTCAACCATAATCCTTTTTAGATTGCTCGATTTTGTAACTTGGTTTTTAAAGACAGATGCAGAAAGATAGTTAGAAGTTGACGTAAGAGGAACAACGTGACTGTTTGAATTATTAAAAATACCATTAATACGAACTCCACTACCAATTATATTTCCTGGTATTATATTTCCTGGTTTTAAATTTCCTACAGGTAAATAATTGGGTATAATAGAGAATCGCGGATAATGAAATGATTGGTCTACAGGAAATACTTGCTGAATTGGCACACCGATGCTAGGAGCAATAGGAGCATGCATATAAATTGGCGGGAAACTTCCTTTTTTAGATACAGCTTTATTTCCTGCCTCAATGAGCATGGCTTCAATACTTGTTTTTCGATCGTGACTTTTATTTTCGTATTTACGATTTGAAGATCGGCAATCGAAGTTTTCATTCGAATCTTGATCAACTTTATATGTCTTTTTACTTTTCAAACTGTGTTCTTGATCATTATCCTTGTTTTGGAAGGTATTTCGCAGATGACCTCTTTCCTCAGCTTTTTCACTTGGTTTTTTTTTAGAAGTAGTGTGCGAACCAATTCGTTCTTTATACTTATAATCTTTCGAATAGGAAGAATCTTTTGAGTGAGATTTTTTTGCATCATTCCATTCACTTAATCTATCTATATAAGGACTCTGTGATCGACCTCGCCTATTAATTGTCGTGTTTAACGCCTCATACTCAACCGTTTTAGAGTTTTTACTTAACCTTCCACTTTGAAAAGAGTTCAATCTTTCACGATCTCTGCTTACTCGTTCCTTATCTCGATAACGACGATCCAAATGATTTTTTGTGTTTATCTCGGTAGTTAATTCTTCTGTTTGATCGATAAAAGATTTACGCCTAGGATACTTAATGTCATCAAAATAAGATTCTTTATAATAATTATTTCCCACCCCCTCGCTCGTATAAGAATTTCTACGATTCCTAGCACGCGAGGCTAAATTTTGATCATCTCCATAGTTTAAAAAGTTGTCTTCTTGCAGATATTGCGTATTTTTAGAATATTGCATTGCATTTTTTTCATCGTCAATCATTTTTCTCCCTTTCTCTAGAATTATATTACTCAGTTTATTTATGTTGTCACAAGGAAACTGTTCAACAATATCCAAAATTTTCTTAATATCTCTTATGTTAAGAGTTCGCTTTACATCATCAACAGAACTGTGTACGTCTGGCAAAGACGCATTATCTTTTTTTTTATTGGGACTCTGTTCTGAAAAATTACTATTATTAGCAGTGTATCTATCAACATCGCCACGATTAAGCAACTGGATTTCCTCGCGAGTCGGATTAAAAGAAGCATCTTGTTGAAAATTTTCTGATTTTCTATCATGTGATTTAAAAAAATTATCATGGTAATAAGTGTTTGATGAGATACTTTGATAGTCTTCATAAAACATATCTTTATTTGAGGATCTATATCCAGGTGCATGTTCAAAAGAATTACGACCATTAAAATCATTTTCGTAATGGTGAGTTTCAGGGTCAATATTCAAGTCATTTTGATCGTTATGTGACAACTTAGCACGAATTTCATCACCGTGATAACTATTGAAAGAATTTTTTCTTCTATATAAATTTGTATCAGTATCTGAAGAATATCGAATACTTTCATTCATGCTAACGTTTGATGTACGAAATAAATCATTTATTTTATTTGGTACATCATAAAATTCTGGATGTTTTTCAAGCTGATCATTCTTTATTGTGATTCGAAAACTTTCATCGTTAATCAAATTTTTATTGATAAAATTCTTCTTTTGTTCGTTTCTTGAGTAGTTTAATGAGTTGCGCATTTTATATTCTGATTGACGAAAATCCGAATGACATGTACTTGATCGAAATTCTTCACTTTTGTAAGAACTTTGTTTGTTATCATGATGATAAGTTTTATTCTGATAATCATCATGATGATAAGTCTTACTCTGATAATCATTTCCAGATTCTTTATAAATAACTTGGCTAACAGGAGAATGTAGAGAATGCATCGAGTGACTACCAGTATGCTTACCATCATTACCATCGCTTTGATAATGTCTAAAATCATCGGTATGTTTAATTCCATCATTATCTTCTTGAGATGAGCAAGGCCAATATGAATTATATTCTTTTTGACTATTCATTGTCAATGCAGGTCCAGAGTTATTTGAGAATTCAGAAGTGTGACCAGAGAGAAAAAAGCTTGAATTATCACTAGTCTTTCTGGAATTACGATAGAAATCATATGAGTCACGAGACGTTTTTCTAGCTTCATGACTTCGATAACTATTTTTATTACTTGAATAAGAACCTTTACGGCTCATTATTGTTCTAAACAAGAAAGGAGTTGATAATTTTTGTGTACACAAGAAATAAAAATTGATATAGTTTTTACAATGCAAACATTTTTGTATGTATATATATATATATATATATATATATATATATATATATATATATATATATATATATATATATATATATATATATATATATATATAAATATTACAAAATTCTCTAAAAAAATAAATAAGTTTGCTTTATATTTAACATTTTTTATTGATAAATTATTTTCAAAACAATTTTAAAAATACTGTTCAACAAGCTTAAACCTTTTTACGAATTTGCAGAACTAACTATAATAATGCAGTTATCCTTGTCATTATGTCATACTTGCAATTAAGACAACTGGTGTACTAGTCTGCAGTTAAATGTGGTAACTTACTATTTAAACAATTTTAAAAGAATTTAACACAATTTAAAAATACAAACAAATAAATAGATTTTAGTAAAGGCAAATAAATTCTAGATTCAAATTGATTTTAGCAGAAAAAACCATTCAAGAGAATTATGAGTTTTAAAGCAAATAAGATGCAGTAAACATAATACAGTAAGCATGATGCATAAAATCTTGTTTCTATGGATTAGCATAAGTCTTGTTTCTTTGGATTCACGATTTGAATTTTATTGCGATGAAACATTTGTGGTATAAAAAAGAACTGAAGTTGAGACTTTGAGCCAACTAAAATTCTCTGATCATTTGAATTTAAGGAACTAGAATTTTGAATTTACATTTTCAAGTTCATTTTAATATTGAAAACAGCTCAACTTTTTCCTTTTTTCACGTTGTAAGATATAACAACTGGAACTTAAAATTTCAGAATGTACAAGCATTATTAACCAAATACTTCAATCTATAAAGACATTGGGCAAAACATCTTCTAAATTTTCTTAAAAAGTCATAATTTGACCCTAAAAAAAGAAGACATAAAACACTGCATATACAAATTGTTTTCTAAAGTAAAAATAAAAAACCTTTTACTGTGCTAAAGACATTTGAAGTAATAATTTATTACTTCTAAATTGTCAAACAAACCTTATTACCTCTAAAATTGTCAAACAAACCTTATTACTTCTAACATTGTCACACAAAATTAAAAACCAATTTAGGATGACCATGATTTATAAAAAAGGATCATAGAATTGATACTTCTAAAAATAGTTAAAGATTTTAGGCATTAAAATATTTTAATAGATTTGAAATACACATTTAGTAAAATCATTTATTTTAATATTTCTTTTTAATAACTAAATTTAACAATATAATCCAAACAATGCTTTTAAAGAGTTAATGTTAAGAGAATCTACTTACCAATCAGTAGTTTAAATAGTTAAAAATTTAATTTTTAATCTATAAAAGAAATAACAATTGTACAAAGTTTTAAAAATGTTTATTAAAATTTTATCTTTTGAAATATTTAAAACAAGTGCAATTGTTTATGTCCCTAAAAACTAAAGGTGAAGTTAAAAAAAAAATTTTAATGTGAAAGCAGAGAACTACACACATTAAAAAGAAAAAAAAAAAAAAGATTTTGATAGTGAAACTGGAACCATTATAAAAATGTGAAGCCAGAGAATAACAAAAGATTTTTATAGCGAAACTTGAGGCATTATAAAAAGTGGACTACAAAAGATTTTGATAGCATTAAGAAAATCAGAACTCTTATTCAATGCCTTTTTTTTTTAAATACATTTACTATTATTGCACACCTAATTCAAAATAATTATGTTACAATCTTATTACCTCTAGTTTAAAATAGTTTAAATGTTTACATTGTGATATCTTATGTTGCAAATGAACTCTCTTTTTCTTAAATGATTTTTTTTTGAAAAAATTCCTAAAATAAACTTAGATTTGATCTAAAATAAATAAGTAATTTAGTAAGTTAAGATTTAAGCTATGTTTATTAGAAACATTTTTAAAATAATGGAGATTTAAAAAAAATAAAGTTAATATTTGCAACTTAAGTCAACTAGTTTTATTATTTACAGAACATAGTTTACAGAAATTTTAAATTTATATCAGACTTCAGTTCAGATTTATACCTTCACTTAATTTAAATATGCAAAGTGGTCAGATAATATTATATTTATGTAAGCATTAGTTAAAAGTATACATATAAACAACAAAAAATAACTTTAAAAAATTAAGAAAATTTTTTTAATATAAAACAAAATAATCTTTAAACAAAAAATATTCAAAAATATTACATGTTTGAGTTTAAAGTAACTTTTATGTTTAAAAAATAAAAAAATAAAAAGTTGATGTTTAAAATTTTTTTTAATTCTTAATAATTTTAAAATAAAAAGGTTATTGATGCAACACAAATCGAAATCTTAACTAAGCATATAAATCTCTCTTTACACTAAAATCAAAGATTTAATACTTTAATATTAAAATCTTTTAATAAAACTTAATAAGGTTCAGAATCTTGTTTTGGATACATCACATCGCCATAACCTTCGGCAGATCGATATTTCTTTGTTAGAAAGCTAGCAGAAGCACCAACTGCAGGTCGCTTATTACCATGAGGTGTTGAACCTGGAACGTTAATTTTAGCTATTTACAGTTAATATAAGTTTATTTTAAATATTACAACACTACAGACTAGATTTATAGTTTAAAAAATTTACAGACTAGATTTATATTTTAAAAAATTTAAACACGAAATTTACAGTATTTTTTTTTGTTTGTTTTTTTAATGTTTTTAAAAGTTATAATTTTATTTTGTTAACTGAATTTTTTTAAAATTTAGCAATTTAATATTAAAGAGTGATCAGAGTGAATTTAAGTTCAACAATAATTAATATAATCAAATTTCACATGTTTAAGTTCGACTCTCAATAATTAATATAATCAAATTTCACATGTTTAAGTTCGACTCTCAATAATTAATATAATCAAATTTCACATGTTTAAGTTCGACTCTCAATAATTAATATAATCAAATTTCACATGTTAAAGTTCGACTATCAATAATTAATATAATCAAATTTCACATGTTTAAGTTCGACTCTCAATAATTAATATAATCAAATTTCACATGTTAAAGTTCGACTATCAATAATTAATATAATCAAATTTCACATGTTTAAGTTCGACTATCAATAATTAATATAATCAAATTTCACATGTTTAAGTTCGACTTTCAAACATAAACTTGTGATGAACTTTTAAACTGAAATTTAAGTTTAACATTTAAACTTAAATGGCTTAATATGAATTTTTTTTTTAAGTTTTAAATAAAATAACAAAAAATTAAGTTTTTCACTTTTTGAAATAACAAAATGATTCTAGCAATAAAAACTAACTTTAGGGGCAATCATAAATAATTTTGGGCTAAGATGTTTTCAAAACTAGATACTTTCATTTAAAAAAATAATTTTCATGACTGCCACCCATATTAAATAATAAAGCAAATGTTTGACAGAAGCTTTAAAGATCTTTCTAATATTATTCTGCAAAATATATAAATATGGTGTTTAATTTCAATTTAAAAAACTAAGAAAAATAAAACTTAATTTCAATTTGAGAATACTTTTTACTGTTTTACAACAAAGTATCATTTATGTTAACAAAACACTGAAAAAAATGTTTTTTCAATGTTTTGTTCAAAAAAAGAATTTTTTGAGAAAACCACCATCAGGGCAAAAAAATTTGGGCAGCAGTGCCCCCTCATTCCAACAAACTTTAGCAGAAAATCAGCGGTTTTATTACAAAAATAACAATATTTAATGTAAGAAAAATGGAAAATGCTCCTCAAATTTTAATTTGGGTGGCGCCCAAATACGCTCAACACTGTCGAAAAGGGTCTGCAATAGCCCTCGACCATTTACTTGATTTTTCTGGAACACAATGTAGATGATGTATAATCATAGAAATTATTATAATGACATATTAAAACTGTGACTGTTAAAAAAAAGTCACATTAGAACTGTGACTGTTAAAAAAAAGTCACATTAGAACTGTGACTGTTAAAAAAAAGTCACATTAGAACTGTGACTGTTAAAAAAAAGTCACATTAGAACTGTGACTGTTAAAAAAAAGTCACATTAGAACTGTGACTGTTAAAAAAAAGTCACATTAGAACTGTGACTGTTAAAAAAAAGCCTTTTGCAAAAGTCTTTGCTCAGGCATTGGAGAAATGGTATTATAATAAATTGAACAAGTGAAAAAACAAGGGTGCTTGTTGCAACAATTTTTTATGCTCTTCTCATTGCAAATAACTCTTATACAGTGAACTATTGTTTTGCTGAGTTTTACAGAATAACTCCAGGTATGAACTAAAAATAATTACTATACTTATATTAAAATATATTAAACTATTAATATATTTTAGAAGCATACATTTTGTATGAGTTGGTTTTTAAATCACTCTTCCAGTTTTCCTACTGCATTGTTAAATTTATTCAAAATTGAAAAAATAAGGTTATTAATAACAATAAATTATATCAAACTCTTTCTTTTTAAACAAATCTTATAGGTGGTTTGCTTCATTTGATAAATACAAGTGTTTTTTTAAAAAAGTATTAAATCAGTTAAATAAACCAAAAGCAGCTAGTGTAATGTTATTTTAAATAAAAAAACTTGGCATTAAAAAATGCAGCAAATAATAAAACAATTAAGTATTATTAACATTAAAAACTTACCAGTAGGTAAATATTCATCAGAGTATTCATAATATACAGCCTCTCTTAAAAAAAATTATTTAAAATCAAATATCGTTCTATTAAAAAAAAAAATTAAACTAATTACTCTATTGTGACAGTAAAAACTTACCCGCTATCTGGATATCCTTCATATGATGCATCATAGGTTGTATCATACGCATCATAAGCCTGGTAAAATTACATAATTTAAATAAATATCCATACATTAAACAGATTAAAGAAACTTTCCTACAAAGAAGTACATGTATATTGGTTAATACATATTGAATACATTAGTGGTGTACTTTGTAAGATATCTGAATATCTTTTAATCAGATTATTGTTAATGAGACTTTTATTTTATAAATTCAATTAAACTTTATTATTATTTTATTTTCTACTTTTTATTCTTGAGTCTTAATTCTAAGATTGAATCTTTATCTTCATCCTAAAACTGTATTTTCAATAAAAATTGTTTTCTAATATTTAAAATTTAAAATTCAAGTTCAAACTTTACACCAATATAAGCTATTACACATACAACATGCATAGCCCAGACTACACTGTTAGCACTAATTTCAACTGTACACCAATGGAGGAACATGCTTAACATTTAAAATTGCACAAGCTACACTTTCAACACAAACTTTAATTTAAATCTTAGGAAAAAGAAAAGTGCAGTTTTTTTTTTTGAGAATACAAAGCAAAATATGTAATTGAGTAGACTTTACCTACCAGGTTAGACAGTTAAAAAGAAATTGTAGACACTCCAAATCAAATTGTCAAAAATGTATATATTTTTTAATGGTCATCATGAGGTGATTATTAAGTGCACATCTTAAAACTAATTGAGCCTGTTTTGTGCAGTTTGCAGCTTTTCAAAAAATATGCACTTGCATTTTTCATAAAAATAAGTTTCTAACAAAAAAAAAATCAAATTCTTACATATCTATCTGGAGCAGTGGAGGCATGTCTAGGTATTGAGAGCGATCTTCGACCGCCACGTGTTATCACTCTTGAAACTATACAAATAAAAAAATACAAGAAAATAAAGCATAAAAAGAAAATGTATTTTATATATATGTATATATATATATATATATATATATTATATATATATATATATTCATATATGTATATAAATATATATATACTCATATATGTATATATATATATATATAAAATTGGTGTGTAGGCGAGAGTAGGTTTTTTTATGAAAACTGTAGTTGTTGCTGTAGAATTTATTTTGTGTAAAGTTATGTCCAAGAAGGATATTTTCAAATTCACTTTTTGTTCCATGGTGGAAGAAATAGAATTGTGTCTATAATTAAGGAAAATATGTGCTTCATTTTCTGACTGAAAAGCAGCAAAAATGTCATTAACATATCGTTTATAGAAAACTGGTTTAACACCATTGCAATTTTTAATATACATAAACAAATTGGCAAGAACAGGTGCTAGTGGAGAGCCCATGGCTACACCATCTATTTGATCATAAGTATGTCCTTTAAAAAGAAAATGTGTTTGCGAGGTAGCGAAATTAAATAGTTTTTTAAAATCGTTTTTAGTAATTTTAAAATTTTTATTATTAAGCATAATCAAATTAACTGCGATAGCAATGGTTTTTTTAAGCAGAACATTAGTATTTAAGCTGGTTACAAAAAAAACAAAACAAAAAATGGTTTTTTAAAAAAAACAAAAAAAAATTGCCTTTTTGGTTTAAAAAATGTCTTTTTGGTTTCCTTTTTTTTAAAAAAACCACGTAAAATGACCAATGCTTTTTTTAATTAAAAAATCAACTTTTTTAATTAAAAAAAAAAACATGAATTACATATAAAAATCAACATGAATTACATAAAAGTTACATAAATTATAAAAATTACATAAAAATTACATAAATTATAAAAATCAACATGAATTACAAAAAAGATAAAAATCAACATGAATTACAGCTGTAATTCATCAACTAATACATCATTAATTAATTTTCTGTATATAAAAACAAGCTTTGCTACTTTTCTACTCCCATCTTGATTTTTAACTCAGAATGAACAATGAATGAACTCAGAATGAACAATGAATGAACTCAGAATGAACAATGAATGAACTCAGAATGAACAATGAATGAACTCAGAATGAACAATGAATGAACTCAGAATGAACAATGAATGAACTCAGAATGAACAATGAATGAACTCAGAATGAACAATGAATGAACTCAGAATGAACAATGAATGAACTCAGAATGAACAATGAATGAACTCAGAATGAACAATGAATGAACTCAGAATGAACAATGAATGAACTCAGAATGAACAAGCCTTAAAGTTGAAAAAGTATATATATACTTTTTTCAGTTTATAAAAATGTCAACATGTTTATCAGCTCTTTAAAAATCCCAACATTTTCACTTATTTTTATTTGATCTCTTTGCAACTTATCTAGAGCAACTTCAATTGGTTTTAATATTTTTAACAAGTATTCTGCATTTCGCTTCATCTGTATCTCACTTATTTTTCTACCGATTGTGGGATCCAAATCTCTATTTTTTTCAACATTGTGAAAATGATGCTCCAGTTATTGACATATTTTTCAAGTCAATCACAGAGAATTCCAGCATGTTCTTCCACTTTCTCTATAATATGCTTGATTATTTCATTATTTTATTATCTTATTTCATTATTTTGTTATCTTATTTCATTATTTTGTTATCTTATTTCATTATTTTGTTATCTTATTTCATTATTTTATTATCTTATTTCATTATTTTGTTATCTTATTTCATTATTTTATTATCTGTGTAAGACTTTTGCTCACATTTTCAATGTTAAGATCATTTGCTAAAAGATTTAGCATATAAGCAGCATAAATTACTTTTATACCTCCTTCAGAAACCCTGGTTTATTTTCCAGCTGAAAATATAAAGTTGTTTAAAAAAATTAATTTGATTTAAATTGATTTTTTTTTTATTTGTTGATATCAACCTATCAATCCTACTCGATTGGTTTTTATCAAATCTACAAAACACTGCTTGCCTCTTAACCGAGAAGTTTCAAGTTTGATCTCCATCATGATCCTGGTCGTACTGTGCTTAATTTGTGTTCGGAGTTATGGAGTTAAGAGAGGGTTGTAATTAAAGTAGCCGCCTTAATTGTAGTGCCCTACATGGCTATGAGTAGGTGGATTAACATTGAAAATTTTTTTTTTAAATCTGCTTATTCTTGTAATTAAAAGACAAAATTGATCTTTAAGTAAATGATAAATTTTTTAGATTGATTTTTTTTTAATGTTAATTCAACTCCCAAAGGCCAAGAAGACCACTAAAGACGAGGAGGCTACTTAATTGTAAATATAACCCTCTCTTAACTCTATAACTCTGAAACAAGAACCTTGACAAACAAGGCTGCTGCGTGGAGAAACAATTTAAGTAGAACTACCGGGGACATGGTGGGGATCGAACTCGGAACCTCAAGCTTATGAAGCAAGCGGTCTACCACTACCGTCTTAATCGCGATTTGTTCTTACCATTCAAAATAAGCACCTCTTACTTTTATTTGTTGATTAATAAATTTTTTACATTGATTTGTTCATATTATTTATAATAACCATCTCTCACTTTTAGTTGCTGACTGACTGATTGATAAATTTTTTACATTGATTTGTTCATATTATTAAAAACAACCACCTTTCAATAACATAAATCAAAACTTAATTTTTTTTTTTTTTTAAATAAACTCAAATCTATTTTTAAATTACAAAATAAATAATTTTTTTTAAAAAACCTCTGCCTCCACGAAATCCTAGGGAATGTGATCCATTTAGTATTATAGCACCAGGTGGAGGAATACCAACTCTAACAATTGGTGCTGAAGCAAACCCTCTTCCTCGACCACCTGACATAACAGCTGTTGCTGCATCAGGATTGATATTACTTAGAAGAGCCATTTCCCTCATTTGTTCTTCACGAATTTCATCATTTTCCTGTTGTTGAATACAAAAACAAATGTAAAAACAAAACTTTAAATTAAAAAAATAATTTAAAAAATACCATGAGTCTTTATTCCTAAAAAAACTGATTCTACAATTTAAATTCTTTAAAATAAAGAATATATTAACGTGAACGTATTAACGTGAAGTGAGAAGCATAAAAATGTAGACAATTCAAAATACATTAAGATTTAAGATTAAAAAAAAGAAAATGTCAAATTAAAAATTACTTACTGGAACCATATACTTTTTTATTTCAGCAAGGGCTGCAGCTAGCCTTGCATGCGCTTCACTTTTTGGACCTTCAACTTCAATAAGCACATGCAAAGGTTCCTTCAGATGGTCATATTTTGATTCGCCACTGTTTCTTAACTCCTCCTCCTAAATAAAATACTTTTTTTTTAAATATTTTTAAATACTCTTTGCCTGATGTTAAACATCTTTTAGTAAAAAAAAAAAAAATAATAAACCTTTGCTTTATCTCTTGTTGAACCTCTTCCTAAAACTGACATTCTTGTTTGTGTAGCTTGTTGAAGGCGTTTTAAAGTATTGCCACGAGGTCCAAGTAACTTTCCAACAAAATTGAACTAAATCAAAAAATATCAACTAAAAAAACATTTTTAACAAAACGCTGGAAATAAAAACAAATTTAAACTATGTGAAACAAAAAAATATGAGCAGTCGGAAGAAATTTTTTTTTAACTATTTTTATTTTTCAAATTCCAGACAATACAATTTTTTTGTTTGTATGAAACTTAGCCACAAAATATTTTCTACAAATTTATAGCTATTTAAAAAAAAAAAGACATTAATTTATGTGAAATTGATGTTGCAGCATTATATGGATGCAAACATTCCACAAACCTTTTTAAAATTTTTACAGGAATAACAATGTTATGTTAATCAAGCCTTCTCAGGAAAGGTGCTCGGTTGCAGGCTTTATATGACTACGCATCAGGGTTTGCATTAAAAAACCCGCCCAATAAAACCCAAAAAAACCCGCCTAAAAAAACCCAATAAAATCCTGGAAAATCTGGGTTTTATTGGGTTTTTTTAAAGATATTTATTAAGTTTATGAACTATTATAACCAACTTTAACATTATAACTATAATATTATGAACTAAAATAATTATTAACTATTATTATTAACTAAATTATTATTAACTATTATTATTAACTAAATTATTATTAACTATTATTATTAACTATTATAACCAACAATAACAGCTATCAGAGCAGGTTTACTATTACTTAAATCATTATTTGGAAATACATTATTACAATTTTTATTCAAATATTTTTATTGATTGAGATTTTTATTACTTTATGTTATTCACCTCCCAAGTTAAATTTAAATGAGTAGTAGTGACCAGAGAAGCCAACAGTCGAGGAGGCTACCTTGTTGTGGTTACAATCCTCTCTCAACTCTTACGCGGTAGTGGTGTTGTGGTAGAGTACTCGCTTCATAAGTGAGAGGTTCCGAGTTTGATCTCCACTACGCCCCTGGCAGTACCGCGCATAACTCCTTTCTTCGCGCAGCGGCCTTGTTCGTCAAGGTTTGTGTTTTGGAATTATAGAATTGAGAGAGGGTTATAACCACAAATAAATAGCCTCCTCGCCTGTAGTGGCCTTAAACCTTGAGGAGGTGAATTGATTAAAAAAAACAAAAAAAAAACTCTTTAACTCCTAAACACAAACCTTTATAAACAAGGCCACTGCGCAGAGGAACAAGTTTGTTCATTTAAATTTCAAGTTCAAAGTTTAATTGAAACTTCAGTTACAACCTCCCATTCTCTAGCCTTCTTTTTCCCATTTTCTCATTGACATTTTTAATTATATAGAATAATACTTTTAAATTTAAAATAAATCAATACATATAGATTAAGCGTGAAATTTTTTTTTCTATCAGAGTTTTAAATTATATTTAAAAAATCTTTTTCAAAATAATTGAAAAATTCTAGTTATAAATAATTAAACAACAATATATAAAATATATTTTAAATAAAGTTAAAGTAGAAAATGAACCTAATTTTCAATATCATTAAACAAAAACACACAAAAAATTTTTACAGGAACAAAATAAAAATTAAACCCAAAAAAACCCAAATTTACCCAAAAAAACCCACTGGGCCGGGTTTTTTTAAAAAAAACCTGAGTTTTTGCCAACCCTGCTACGCATACTTTTTTTTTTGTGGATAACATGGCCATGGTTTTTTGCATATATTAATAAATTGTGTTTTAGAAAATGCCCTGAAAAAACCAAATTTTTCTCTTTAAAGAGAAAATTAAAAACAAACAAACTGTAAACTGAAAGAGAAACCTACTTAACAAATAAACTGAAGAGAAACCTACTTAACAAATGATAAAATAAAGGATAAGCCAGAGAAAATAAAAGCATAAAACTAATATTTTTTTAATTTAAAAACGTCTCAATAGTTCAAATTTAATTAATTTAAAAGCATTCCACTTGATAGTTTAAAACAATTTTTTCATTATCGCAACGCCATAATGTAACCCAAAGGTTGTGTGTCATTTTTTTAATAAGTTAATAAAAAGAATAAATAATAAAGTGTCCTAAGATTGTTTCAAACCTGGATCTCCTGCTTATAAAGCAAGCACTCTAACCACTGCGCCATGGCCGCACGTCTTTTTTGAGGAGCGACAGTTATATTGATATTGATCAAGGGTTCTAATCCTTCAAAAAAAACTTTGTTTTATGTTTTATTTGCTTTGCAGACAGAAACTATCAAAGTTTCAAGTTTTTAAATAATTGAGTTTTCAAGTAAATAAACTTGGATTAAATAACTTTGATACTTTCTTAAATTCTTTGTAGTAAAATAAGTACACAAATTAAATATAAAAGTAAAAAAACAAATTAAAAAAGTACTCTTCAGCTTTTATTTCAAACCAAGTAATAACTTACAATACAATAAAAAAATATAAGAAGATCAAACAAAAAATTCAAATTATTCCTATGGCAATCGAATAAAATTTAGTGCTTTTGGCATCATAAGCTTGCACAAAGAAAAAGATGCTTTTTTTGTTTTGTTTGATGCTTTTTTAAATGATATTTTATCTTTAATGTTTCTGCAAAGTTTTTTTGTTGTTTTTTTTTTTATTTTAATAATAGCACAGTACTTTTCAATAACTCTCAATTCTGAGCAGTTTGGAGGATTTTCCGTTTTAGGCACAAACTTTACATTATTTTTTTTATACCATTCCATAGCTAGTTTACAATGACTTGAAGCTAAATCAGGTCAGAACACAGATCTATTATCGTGTGATTTAATGAGAGGTAAAAAGCCTTTTTATAAACATTCTTTAACATTTTTTGTGCTTTGTAATATATTTTTTGTGCTTTGAAAGAATGAAAACCATGTTTATTTCGAACTTTTGCAACAAAACTATGAGAAAGTCTATAAATTTTTGCACATTCCTTTAGTGAAAGGCTTGGGTTAATCATAAAATTGTTAACCAATTTTTTAACTAGTTTTATATCTTAAAAACCCTCCTTTCTTCCACCACCATATTTGCGTTTGATCGATTTTGTTTGAGAAAAACATTAAATCAAAAAAAGTTGAATTTTAAAAGTTTTAAGAAAGTTTATAAGAATCATTTACATAAGTCTTTGTATAATGTTAGGGAAAAATTTTTAATAAAAACTACATAAAGTTTATTAAAAATGTAAACTTTTTGTAATTTTTAATTACTTAAAGTAATTAAAAATTAATTACTTTTTTAATTTATAGACTTCTTTTTTTAAAATAAAGACTTTTATAAATGATCAATATATACTTTCTCAAAGGGCCATCCATAAAGTACATACGCAGGTATGGGGAGAGGGAGGGTTTCCCAAAAGCGTACAAATGCAAACAAAGGGGGAGGGGGTGTTAAAGACAGTGAGTACATACACGGTTTGACTATCCTAAACATGATTTTTTTTTTTTTTAAAAAAAACATTAAATTTCATGTGTGTAACAGATAAGAATTGTGTTTTTTTTTCTGACTTCAGTTACAATTTTTTTTAACTCTATAAATAATGAGAAAAAAAAATCTAGTTAATTTTAAAAAAATTAAATAATGCTTACGTACACAGAGGGGGGTGGGGGTGGGGGTCTTCAAAAGTGTACAGGTTCGTACAAGGGGGGGAGAAGGGGGTCCTAAATCAGTGATTTTATTGTGTACGTACTTTATGGATGCCCCCAAAAACTTCTTAAATGTAACAATGGCGCTTTTTCCTGAGTACTCTTTATTTGTTAACTCTGGCATTTTTTCAACGCCTTAATTTAAAACATGCAAAGTGCCATGGCCTAATTGTCAAAACAAAATCATGTGTGTGTGTGGTCATAACATATGACCGCAAGCTCTTCCTGAGAAGGTTTGGTTATTGTACTTTTTCTTTTAAAAATAATACAAAATACCTTTGGATATTCTTTCACAGGTACAACAACTTTTTCAGTAAGTTTGACAACTTCTTCGTTAACAACAGCTCCTGTGTAAGACTTATAACGAGGTTTACGATTATTAGATGGTTCAGCCTCATCTTGTGTTGATATATATCCTGATGACTCAGCAGTTTTTCCGGTTACTCTTAATACCTCTAAAAGTATGTATGTATTTATGTAAATATATATATACATATATATATATATATATATATATATATATATATATATATATATATATATATATATATATATATATATATATATATATATGGCTCAAAATAAGAGCCAAACATCAGACATTGTCCAGTACAAAACAACATCTATCACTCATTTTGTCCGTATATTTTATGCGCATTTATTTTCTAATCATTTTAGTTGTTTCAAAATTATTAATTATCAGTATTGTACAAACTTTATTTTTTGAACTTTTTATTTTTTATACAAAACAAAAGTTGAACACACATCAACATTACTAAAATATGTCATTTTTTTGAGTTAATCCATTTTTTAAAAGACGCCAAAGCATTACATTTTTTTGAATTAAGTAGCCCGGTTTTTTAGCGCTAAAAAAAACATAACGTTTGTTGTAGCACTAAAAACTTTCGCTTAATAAAAGTGCTTATAAAATTAATCCAGAAAAAGTTTGAAAAGATTTTTAAAAAAATACATATTTATATAAACCTAATTACGCTTAATATACTTTGATAATTTAAATAAAATGTGTTTATTGTAAACATAATCAATTTGTAATTTTATTTAATAAAGTAATAAGTAAACTTAATAATTTTGTATTTTTATTATACATTTTTATTAAATATTTAATTATGTATTTAATCACATTATTTATGTATTTAATATATTTACGTAATATTTTATATATTTAATAGTTTGCAAAGCATTTTGCATAATCAAGTAATTTCCAAATTTTAGTTTTTTGAGCTTAGATTTTTTCTTTTTCTTTAGGATTTTCGTTTTGAAAGGTAGTTTCTTACAAATTTTTTTTTTATTTTCAGTGCATTTTGAAACGCCTAGAGTTGTCATAACAAATTGAGTGGTCAAGTTGTTAAAATAATATATTTTAAGCGTGTTCAGGAATGGCATTTGATCGCACATTTTTAATATATGTATATATGTATATATGTATATATGTATATATGTATATATGTATATATGTATATATGTATATATGTATATATGTATATATGTATATATGTATATATGTATATATATATATATATATATATATATATATATATATATATATATATATATATATATATATATATATATATATATACATATATACATATATAGTGGAGTACCTCAGGGATCGGTGCTAGGACTGTTGCTCTTTATCCTCTATATTAATGACCTACCAAAAAACATAGCTCACCACATCAAGATGTATGCTGATGACAGCAAAATACTAGATGTAATCAAAACAGAGGAGGACAAAGCACGTCTCCAGCTAGATATTGATAGCGCTGTAGAATGGTCCAAAAAGTGGCTATTACTATTTAACTTGGACAAATGCAAATGCATGCATGTAGGTCGCTCCAACAAATCAGTCTACGTCTACACAATGACTGATCAGATGGGAATAAGACAAGAACTGTATATGACTTCAGTCAAACGAGATCTAGGTGTTCTTATTTCAGAAGATTTAAAAGTCAATCATCAAGTTGAAGCAGCAGCTGCAAGAGCAAACCAGGTACTTGGTCGGCTTAAGAAATCCTTCAGAAGCAGAAATATCATACTTTGTAAAGTCCTTTACAAATCGTATGTTAGACCACACCTTGAATTTGCCATCCAATTGTGGTCGCCACATCTGAAGGGAGACATCAAGGCTCTCGAAATCATTCAAAAGCGTGCGACGAAGCAGATCACAGACATCAAACATAAATCATATGAGGAAAGGCTTACAATACTTGGATTAACCAAACTAGAAGATAGACGAGTTAAAAATGATTTAACTCAGCAATATAAGATGCGCATGATGTTGAGAATATCGAATTTGTTGTGCCTCAAGTCTACACGCAAACGCTTTTCCAGTATAACCTTCGTGGCAATAGCTTAAAACTTACTTAGCTGATAGTCAAGAACTGTGTCAAAAGAGAAAGTTCTTCACAAATCGCATAGTCAACGCATGGAATGCTTTACCATCAAACGTTGTTAACGCCTTTTCAACCGACGCATTCAAAAGTTGATTCGATGCATTAACAGTATAAGTATAGACACATTGTGTGTCCGATACTTGTCAGCATGGAGGTGCCTGGTGTTGCACCTCTTCATCGATATATTATATATATTTTAATTTTCATGGACTAAAATTGTTATAAATATTATTGATTTCTGAATAAACAAATTAATTAAATTAATATATACAGTAGCATCCAAAAGTGGACAGGCAAAAAAAATGAGGAATTTTACTTAAATTTCAGCACATATTTCACTAAAGCCAACATATTATACACCAATTAAAAGGTTTCCAAGTTAACAATTATGTTTTGAGCAAATAAGGAATATTTAATTATCATTTTAAAATTGGTTAACAAAATGGCAATTTTTGATAAGTTCAAAAGCTTGCGGACAAACTAACGCTTTTAACATTTTCACCACAAAATAGCTAATTTGTTGATTTTATAAACAAATACTTTGTGGAAATAATTTCAAAACTTTATATATAAGTGATTGAGATCATGGGATCTAAGAAATGTATTTCATCTCCAGTAAAAAAATTGATCTTGAGATCAGTTAAGAATGGAAACTCGTTTTGTAAAACAGCACAGCTTTATGGAGTTGGTAAGTCTGCTGTTGGACAAATTATGAAGAGATTTGAGCTTACTAGATCTACAAAGAATAAAAATCAATCAGGAAGGCCACGCAAAACAATGCGTTATCAGGATAAAAAGCTTGTAATACTAAGCAAAGAAAATCCCTGTTTGACAACTGTCGATTTAAACGTACAAATGAGACGTTTCTATAGAATGAATTGTAGTATTTCTACTATAAAACGTCGTTTACGTCATGCTAATTTGTTTGGAAGACGCCCAGCTAAAAAACTATTAGTTTCCTTGAAAAACCGTAACGCCTGAATGGAATTTGCATCAAAACATTTAAAGTGGAGTAGTCAAAAATTCTTTTTAGTGACGAAAGCAAATTTATGCTGTTTGGACCCGATGGAATCAGGTATGTTCGACGTCCAGTAGGTACTAGGTACAATCCTAAATACCAACTGCCTACCGTAAAACATGGAGGAGGTAATGTAATGGTTTGGGGATGTTTTAGCCGAAATGGAGTTGGTCATCTCCATAGAATTACGGAGAATATGAATCAAGAAAAGTACAAAGATATATGTAAGACTATTATGTTACCATATGCAAAGGATAAAATGCCTCGAGGATGGATTTACCAACAGGATAACGATCCCAAACATACAGCTAAATCGGTTTTAGAGTTTTTTAAAGAGAGTAAAGTTAATGTTTTGAAGTGGCCATCCCAATCACCTGACTTAAATCCCATTGAACATCTACAGGAACATGTTGACCGTCAAATGAAAGGAATTAAGCCTACAAATTATGTTGATTTATTTAATAAAATCAAAGAATTATGGGACCTTATTCCCATTGACGTTTGCATTAGGTTTATAAAAAGGTTTATAAAACAAAAAGGTTTATAGTCATATAGAAAGGTGTATAGATGCAAAAGACTAAGAATATCAAACAAACTTTTTCCACTGACAGGATTTTCCCAAAATCAGTAGAAATATAATAGAAAGTAAATCGATAGAAGTTGTATTTTGATTTTATCTTGCCAAAATTAAATGTAATAAGTTTTTAGCAGTCTCATTTTAAAACTTATTTTATATACAGTGCTTTATTTTTAATTTACACTTTTAAGATCAATAAGACTATTCACAGATATATTGAATATGAGCCTGTTGCAGAGGTGAAATTTAAATCATAATAAAACCATACAAGGTGTTTGGATCCATTGACCGTGGTTTTGGGGTTAATTTTAGGTTAATTTTTGATATTCTAGGTCATAGTTTGAAAAAATGACTACGGATAAGACTTCCTCAGACTTTTTGGATACAAAATCTAAAGCTTTAAAAACATTTTAAAGTTGCTAACAACTTATCAGAACTCACAGCAAAATCATAAATCTATTGATCATAGTTTAAGAAATTTATTTCTAAAAACAAGAAATACATTTCTTGTTTTTAGAAATAAATTGAAGGGTCGGATATTTATTTTATAATAAATAATTTTTTTTTTTTTTTTTTTTTTTTTTTTTTTACATCTTCACTTCCAACAAGGCTGCAAGCAACCACTATAAGAGTTGGAAGTTACTGGAAGAGAAAAGACTAAATCTGTAGAGCAAGATAACGATTGACTGATGACTTAAAAGATTGCAAATTATATGAATCAGGAAAGCAAGATGAAGGAAGCGAATTCCAAAGAACTGATGTTCGAGGAAAAAAACTAGAAAAATAAGAGTTTTTGAAGCACTTAGGAACAGTCACAGAAAAAGGATGAGACTTAATTGAATGGCGAGTAACACGAGAATGAATTTTAGTAGATGGCACAAGGGACGCTAGCTCTTTAGAGCAGTGCCCATTATAGTATTTGTAGAAAAGAGAAAGAGAAGCAACATTACGACGATGTGACAAAGGTTGGAGATTGGCTGCCAGAGCAGGTCCAACTATGTTTACAATTCGTTTTTGCACCTTGTCTAAAAGAAAAAGAGCATCATTAGAAGATCCGCCCCAGATGTGGCAACAGTATTCCATACAGGGACGGATTTGAGATTTATAGAGATAGAGAATAGAATCTGGAGTAAGAAAGTGTCGAGCTCGATAAAGAGATGCAACCTTAGCAGATGCTAATTTTGCAATGAATTTGATATACGGTTTAAAAGAAAGATCAGAAGTAAGAGTTAATCCTAGAAGATGAATGGTAGATGACTCATCTAGTACATTACCATTCATAAATATAGGAAGATCTAAATTATTACGATAACGATTGGCCGAATAAAATTGGGTTTTATCTGAATTAAAGTTCACCAGCCACTGTGAGCCCCATGCTGTAGCAGAAGTGAGATCCTTTTCAAGCTCAGATACCCCCTCCAAGCAATCAGAGAGTGTAGGCTT